AATCCGGTGCGAGACTGGGAAGAACCGACAGAGGGAGATTGCGGGTGTCTCACTGTGCTTGATCTCTAGTAGTACCATTCATGCAGGGCAGGCAACAGCCCCCCCAGGGACTCCCCGAGGAACTCAGCAAAAGAAGGAGCCACCACCACCACCACCAACCGAGCACTGAAAGGCTCGCCCTTAAATCGCATCCGCTCCCGAAGCGTTTGCTCCGCCTTCGAGAGGAGGAAGCGCGGTGGCGGTGGTGGTGATGGTGCTGTCTTGGGAGGCGAGGGTCTTCGGATCACCGGCGACCTTCTCTGGCTCCTTCTTCGGCGGCGGCGGGAGCCCTCCGGAGCGATCCCTTCCCACGACCATCAGCAGACACGCACATGTCCGCGTGGGAAAGGAGGGAAGGGAAGAACCCCGGGGGAGGGGGCTTGGTTTGGGCGACCCGCTTCCTGGGGCGGCTCAACTGGCGGATGTAGCGATCCTGGCCCCTGACCCAGCCCAGAGGCAGCTCCCAGGAGGCTTGAGGTCCTTTGAGACTGACAAGGGTGATTTGCTGCCACAAGCTCTCATCCCGCTTCATGGGGGTGGGCAACGGGCTCCCCACCCCCTCCCCGCCTCATCTCCGTGCCCTTGTAGCAATAGGCAGGCAGGTCCACAGAACTGGGCAGGAACCTTCCCCCATTGCTACTGATCATCTGTATTGGCTTACTCTTATCAATGCCGCCAACCCCCGCTGTGGACCAAAGGGCTCTGAACTCTCAACGTCAAGGTATCCAAGGTATGTATTTATAGCCTAGAATCAACCCTAGTCCGTCTGATGTCGTGTTTAGCAACGACGAACTCCATCAGCCGCAACCAGCAGAACCGACTATGGCAGACCAAAACACCCGAAGAGGTTCCGTGTTTCTCGCCCCTGAGGTCTCAGGAAGCACATTTCTGTCTCTGAGTATCTTAAAGGGACACATTCCCTAATCCATAGTATTGCGCTGTCACAATGCACATAAAATGGACAGAGTTTCAAGAACCCAGTACACGTTGTGAAATCCATTTTCCTAAAGCTATCAGTGTAGGGCCATTCACGTAAGCGAATTTACTAGCTGGTAATTGTTTGTATCAATAGCACTGGTAATTCTACAACACCTTGAAATACCTATCATTGCAAATAGCACATATAGGTGAGAACTATGAGCTCATGGGAAGAGGGCTATACCATCTTAACCTTTTTTCAGTCCTGTTTTAGAGCCATTTGACTGCACATTGTTAAGTGGAAGGAGGTGGCAGGTAGGCAAGGATGCTCCAATTCTGACTTGCACTGCCATGGTGCTCATGGCTAGTTTTTTTAATGCACACATTAATGACCGTCCCCACACTTACATCCCAAGGAAAGACCAAAAATGTAGGCAGTTGTGCTGACCTATACTGTATTTATTTTTCTATGTGCAGGATACATTTATGTACACAATCCCCAGCCCAAGATTTTCCAGGAATTGTTCCCACTAGCATCATGAAGAAACACTTGTATCTCAAAGTCAACAAACTACAGTATTTCCAGCCGTTTCTCTCCAGCTGTTGTGAGAATCACAACTAAACTCAGTGGGTGGGAGGGTGGAGGGATGAAAGGGGCAGCAAATGACATTCCCCCTACTAATTATGGGGAGCTAGAAAAAGCAACAAAAAGTGACAATTTAGTTAATTTTGAATACTGAAAAAATACATGATTTTTAAAAAATTGTTCCTATGATTATAACTGACTACTTCTAGGCTTGTAATAAGAATATAATCATTACATGCCATCAAGATGATTCCAATCTATGGCATCCATTTCCAAGGTTTTCTAGGTATAGAGGGTTCAGAAGTGGTTTACTAACCCCTTCTTTTGGGAGTTGCTTGGGATCATTACCTTGCCCAAGACTACACAAGGCAAAATTGGAAATAAATGTATTTATTTATTTATTGGATTTCTACCCCACCCATCTAGACCAAAGATCTACTCTGAGGGGTTTAGAAATTTAAAAACAATAAAACCAATAAACATATAATATAGATCCAAGGTGGCAAAAGTATAAGAAATTAGATACGGCAGGAGGGAAAGTCTGACCAAATAGTCAGGTTTTAAGTTTATTACTGAAAACACCCAGAGAGGGAGCCAGGTGGATCTCCACTGGCAAGTTGTTCCAGAGGCGAAGACCTCCCTCGGTGTTAGGCCCCTCATCTGCCTGGCCTGACTGGAACGAGCGACTCTGGCAGAACTGGGTGGGAAAAGGCGCTCTGTCAGATATTGAGGCCCTAAACCGCTTAGGGCTTTATATGTAACTATAAGAACTTTGAAATCAATGCGGAAATGAATGGGCAGCCAATGCAAGGCGGCCAGAGTGGGGGAAATATGATGGTACCTTTTCACCCCAGTAAGAAGTCTGGTCGCCGCATTCGGTACCATCTGAAGTTTCCGCATCAGTCTCAAAGGCAGCGCCACGTAGAGCGCATTACAGAAATCAAACTCCCAGCTCGGCTGCTCCAACTCACTGAGCTATCCAGCCTTGGAGCTTTTAGTAGTAGCTAGTTATTATTAGAAGTGACTTTCTAGTTTTAGATATGAGACAAAAGGATAGTGGAATTAAAAACAAGATCAAGTAAGGGCCAGATAGGACAAAACAGTTCAAGTAAGGCACCTGCTGGAAGGGCTGTCAGCATCGTAGTTGAGGAAGGCCAAAGGATAGATGGAGGGTCTCCGGAAAGACAGTGAAATCACTCTCTTTATCTCTCCCTCTACTTTGCAGCCAGATGCTCTTGCTCTGTCAAGCCACATGTTTCAGTTGTTATAAAAGTGCACACTTAAGCTCTTCAATACAGCAGCCTTCTAACAGTTGACTCTCTAGTGAGAACTGGTGGAAATAAAATGTAAACATACCATCTACACATTCAGGGGATGAGGTTACCAGGTTCATCCTGCAATGCAAAATTCCTGTCTATCAGGGCATTTACTGGAATTTCTTACATAAGAAGAGTCCCGCTGATTCAGGCCAAGGACCTGTCTAGTCCAGCTTCCTGTATCTCACAGTGGCCCCACCAGGTGCCTCTGGGAGCACACGAGACAAGTAGATACCTGTCTCCTGATACCACTCCCCTGCATCTGGCATTTTGAGGTACGTTCCTTTGAAGCCTGGAGATTATATATCCCCATCATGACTTGCAACCTTCGATGAATTTTTCCTCCAGAAATCTGTCCAATCTCCTTTTAAAGGCATTTAGGTCAGATGGCATCACCACATCCTGTGTCAAGAAGTTCCACAGACTAACAACATACTGGGAAAAGAAATATTTTATATTGTCTGTTCTCCCTCTCGCAACACTCGATTGGAGTGGATGTCCCCTGGTTTTAGCATTGTGTGAGAGGGAAAAGAACTTCTCACTATCCACTTTATCCATGCCTTGCATAATTTTATACATCTCAATCATGTCCCCCCTCAGGCGCCTTTTCTCTAGACTAAAGAGCCCCAAACACTGCAACCTTTGGGACTTCTTCTAAGATATATTTGCCTTGCAAGAGACCTGCATGCAAGGCATTGAGCTCCGCTGGTATACTATCTCATATGGAATCTCATGGAATAATTCAGCATATATACAAGCTTTAGGAAAGTATTGGATTTTAAGTTAATAAGTGTTTTATTTTAGCTACCCTGAAATTTGGGCAGCAACAGGAGACTCATATTTTGGCTTATTGTATAAATCAGCTGCGTCAGCATCACCTTTGGATGTATCCTTATTCAATCTGGATCTTGCCTTATTTATAGCATAGGCATCCTTCAATCTTGAGAGACTATGGTAACATGCTCTGAATCGAGGAGTGTCCTCTCCAGAGCACGAAGCCCGGGTAAGGTAATATGGAGGATAGGCTGTTACCCAAGCAGCAGATCCCCTCTCTCCACATTGCTGAAATGGTCCAATGGAAAGGCAAGAGCCAATACAACTGGTTCCAGCGACATCGCAGGAGTTGCCAGAACACCACGAACTGCCTCCGGGACAAGAACTGCCTTCAGGACTCCAGCTCCGGATTTTGCCTCTAGGTTAACTCCTGAAGCCTTTTCCATCAGTGGATATAGCCACAAGGCAGTGGAGGTTTGAAATCGGAGTTTTTCTTCTCCTAGATGAGGGCTGCCTTCCATGGCTGACGAGCCCCACCTACCCGGCCTGCTCTTTAATACTTATTTATACTGCTATTTCTACAGGGCAGGTAAATTTGTCCCAAAAGCCTTTTCATGCTTAAGGACTAGAGACGCTTCATAGATTACGTAAGGCGAGGTGGTCTCTTTTGCTGGCCATTTTGAATTATTTAATACTGCAAAACGAATTGCACAGATTT